GCCGCCGCAATGGCGACCGTCGGGGAGCGCAGGCCCTTGCCCAGTCCCGAAGCGATGCTGGGACAGTCGTGGAATCTGTGGGTCGAGGCTTCCAAACTTCCTGGGAAGGACGGTGAGTGTCCACGCCCTCCTCTCCCACGCCCCCCGCCCTGTCCTCCGGCCGCTGCCCTCCCCTCCCCGGCGGTGCGCAGCCCCCTCGGGGGCAGAGATGCTATCGCCGGGTTGGGCGAGGCGGCGGTGCCCGCACCTACTCCGAGCGTGCGTGAGCCTGCGTCACGCTCCCCCCTGACCTGCCTCTCCCCTCCTCCCGTGTGTGTCTCCTAGGGACGGAATTGGACGAAAGTTTGAAGGAGTTTGGGAAAAACCGCGAAGTCATGGGGCTCTGTCGCGAAGGTGAGTCCAGCCCCCTGCGGGAATCGGTGCGAGCCCCGGGGAGTTTCCGTGCTGGCGTCGCCGGGGCAGGGCACTCCAGCCCACCCGCCCCGCTCCTCCACGCCGCGGAGGATGCTGCCGGAGGAGCCAGGAGCCGGAGGATGGATGGAGGGTTTGGAAAAGCTGGTCCCCCGGGCTTCCTGTGATGGGGAGCGCCCTGGAACCTCCGGCGGGGGCCTGGCGCGGCGCAGCGTGCCCAGTGATGAGCGCTGGGCACCTGCCCCGAGTTCAGGTCCGACCCCTTATGGAGAAGGACCAGTGGAGGAAGGAATTCGCTTCCGAAAGCATTTCCGCAGATGCTTTAAGGGGCTCTGGAAAGGAAACGTGGCCACCTGAAAATTTCTGCTTGCAATCAAAATGAATTTTGAGCTTTAAAAAAGATGACGTTTTACCTGGGCAGCGTTATTTTTATGAAATTTATGTTACAAAAGTTCAACAGGATCATCACACCTGAAGAGCGGTTGGTCAGATTTCTTTGCGAGCAGCCAAGGAGGTGAGGGGGTGTATGGTGAAACAAGCCTATATAGTTCCCTAAAGGTGAAATTAGAGTTTAATTATTGGTTAGTTTTTAATAAAACTGTTTTGTAGAAGAATACTTTAGGGAAATATCGGTAGCTAATATCGGTGACCTCCCAATGAAAGGTCAGCTATCTAAACTGTCAGACTTCCTTCAGATTTCCTTCTTTTTTAATAGCCACCTTTGCTGTCTAGTTAATGCCTGTGCCAGACCTGGGCACACTGGTCAGAAAGAACTTCTGGAGGCCAGTCAACTTTGAGTTCAAGTTATTTTTTTTAGTGGTACTATGAACAAGGCCTTGAGTGAAATTTGGTATCCAAAATATTGAGTTTATATTCCTCTATGCAATTTTATTTCTTACATGTAGCCATTTATTTTGTATAGTTATTGGCCAGGGCATAAGAATAGGTAGAACTTTGGCAAGTGGAATATATTGAAGTCCAGAGTTGGCCTGTTGTTACTGTCTTCACATTTATTGTTTTTAGTGCCTGTCTTTTCTTCACATTCAGTTTTGGTTTTTTGAATTGGCCACTTGTTGGCCTCTTGGCACTAGAAGGAAGAGTAATTCCATTGGCAGCTCTCTGAGAGCTTCCAATTGGAACAGATTATAGAGCAAATTAGTTGATTTTGAAAATGAGAATTGCTGTTTGCAAGCAAAGGAAAAAGAGGGAAAGCACAGGACTTGCTGGTGATGTTGCAATAGGAAAAGTCAGTTGTTAGTCCGGTTTTAGTGTTGAATTGGCAGCTTGCCTGGGCTTAAAAAATTAAAATCACTAGGTGGCAACTCTCATAGGAAGCAGTTGGAGTAGAGCTTTAGAGGACCTGACCTGCTCTTGTTCTTAGTTTTCATTCTCTGGGTGTGGATACATTTCCCATAAAGGGTTTCTAAATCTGTGTGAAAACAGCGTGCTAATTATTGGTAATTTCTCTATAGAGGATGAGTGAATGTATTAGTGTTTCACTGGGCAACTTGGTCTGGACTGAGACCCAATTAATTTAGTGGCCCAGACCCAGTTTCAGTTGTATTTGTTATTTTCTGCTGGAACATATTTATTCATTAGCAGGTTTTACCATGAAGATCTAAGACCTCTTAACTACCTTCTTGATGCATAGATTTGGTTGTATGTGCTTCTGACCTATCAAATTGTTAGTGATTGTTAGGGGTGCCATTTTTTAAAAACTGCTCTAACCATTCAGGGGATGCTGAAGCAGCTAGCTCACTTGAAACTCTGCTTGCCTGTGTGGAGTAGAGACTGAAGTTTTTAATTCAGTCAGTTCTTGATTCATTTGTGACTGGATTTTCTGGGACAGTTTAAAAATCCAATCATGAGAAGATTCAGTGTTCATGAAGTAGGCCTTTGTTTTTGTAACAAACAGCTTATGTCAGGCTGCTTAAAAATGAAAATACATTTTAAAATTATCAAAAGTTATTAGACAATTATCCTTTTTCTTTGGTTACGATTATTTCCTACCAAGAAAAGAAAGGTGTTTTGTAATTACATCCATACTAAATTCCTTTTGTCAATGAGGTTAAATTGAGAAGAAATATGTAGATAACTTGATCATATGAATGAAATACTAAAAGTCATAAACTCTCCATCTTGGAAGATGTCTAGAAATAAGAACTAGACTTCTCAGATTCTCCTCTAGTTCATGATTGAGGACCTAAGGGTTAAAAACCTGGATGTGAGGAGGATGCTTAACCTTGAATTAGCTATTTCACCTCTCAGAATCTGGCTTTCCCTCTTTGTAAAAGGAGATGGTAATACCTACTTCCCAAGGTTGTTTGTAGGGGTTGAACTTTAATTAGATAATGTATTGGAAATGACTCTACATGCTTATTTCAGCCCTTTCAACTGCTGATAATCTGAGACCTGATTTCCTAATTTGATAATTTATCTAGGTCGGGGGTTTTTAACCTCGGACTTGAATGGGCTTCAGGGGGTCATAGTTCCTCTGAAATTACATGCAAAATAGTATGTATGCCCACTTTGTAGGTCAAGTGCCCATAACTTCTCTTGGATTCTCAAGGGTGCTTCACATCCTCTACTCCCCAAATTTAAAACTGCTAACCCAAGACCTCTGTCTTCCCCCACCCCCACCTCCCTCTCTCTTTTTCTTCCTGTCGCTTATTTTGGCCAATTTCCTCATGGCAAGACTGCCCAATGGTTAATGCTGTGGGAGAGGTTGGAATTATTATGGAGGTGAGATTACCTGTGGTTAAGCTGATATATTATTCCCTCTTCCTATTAGCATAGGTAGGCAAATGTTAGGATGAAATTTCAGTTATCTTTCAGAGGTCAACCTGTTTTTCATCTTCATCCTCATACTTTTATTGCCTTGTTTTCTTCTGTAATTTGTAACATTAGTTGATTATACAGTTGATTTTGGTGGAAAAAGATTGATAATACATTTGAGTTCTTTCAAATGACTGAACTCAGGAGATGAATTACCTTTCTTTCCAAGTGGTTTGAAATTCTAGAGTCCACAAAATTATGTTTAGATGAAATTGATTGGTATAAATAACTGATTAAGGTTTCTGTATTAGTGCTTGAACATATAGGGAGCCTGTAAAAATGAAAACATTAAATGCCTTAATTTCTTGGCAATTTAAAAAACTATATGGTGTCCCTGTGGGAGTCAACAGTGTTATTGAAAAATAACATTTTCTTTGGGATGCCATCCCTAACTTCTTTTAAGCCTGCTGTACAGTGTCAAAGTAACCTGTCCTTTCCCTTTCTCCAGACACTGTACCCATCACCATGTGAAAGCATGTATTGTATGCTGACCTTTCAATAGAGTGTAAGCTCCCAGAGAACATGGATATGGCTGATTGACTTATACAGGGTGGGGCAAAAGTAGGTTTACAGTTGTTCCTATAGAAAATAATATAATAAAAATGCAAGAATAAACTGCGTTTGGCGTACTCACAACTGTAAACCTACTTTTACCCCCTTTGTATTTAGCTCCTGCACACTGTTTGTGCTCAGTAAATATTTGTCTCCCCAAAATGAATGAATTGGGCTATCAGGAAGATTGAACCGAATCACTCAAAGATGAGGGGTTCAAGTGGCCAGTTTTCTATTGTGTTGTGACTCTTACAGTCAAGGTGGAGAGGTGTGCTTTCTGGCCCCAGGGAAGGCAGAGGCTGTCTTCCAGCACGTGCTGTCGCGCTCTGCTCTGAGTTTAGCACTCCATTTACACTCTTCAGAAAGAGTGCAGACAGGACACCACCTCTCTTATCTGTGGTGTTTACGAAAGGGCATAAGATGGCAACCCAGGATGATGTCCACACTTGATGACAGGTGATTTTTCGTCATAATAACAGGGACATAATTGAGCCTAGGGCAAGATGGAAAAGAGGCTGGTTGGCACCTACTGGCAGTTAGAAAAAACATACTGGGGAGGTAGATAGCCTCAATCAACACCTGCCTTTTCAACCTAACAATACCACCTTTTTCTTTCCTAGGTAAAAAAATAGTTCATAGTTAACTGAAAACAAATACATGGGTGTTTGTGTGAAGTACTGTTAAAGTAACTACATTAGAGGCATAAAACCCTCTCCCTGAAGTTAAGAGCATTTTTATTTTTCTCTAGGGTTTCTCTTACATTTTCCCCCAACTTCTTTTGTGTGTGGACAATTTGAAATATACAAAAGTAGAGAAAATACTTTAATGAGCCAGCCTCCGGGTACCCATCATACAGCTTAAACAACTGAGTCATGGCCCAATTGTGTTTCATCTCTACCCAGCTCCCCACACTGAATTAGTTTGAAGAATGTCCCAGACATCATATCATTTCTTTTGGTTTTCTTTCTTATGCTTCCATGGACTTCAGCTTGTCTCCTACAAAATGGAGCCTTAAAGTGCTTTGCTGCTGCTTTTGAGGCAAGCCAGGCTGCCATTTCTCATCTCCCTTGTGGGTGTGTGAGGGTTCGACAGGTGACGGTGCTTACAGTCTGCCTACATCTCAAGTGGAGTTCAAAACTAAGCCTCAGACAGGAATCAGCAAGATCCAAGTTCACTGCATCAGAATCACATTAGTGTGTGTTTAAGAAGTGCTCAGGTGATCCTGTTGCAGATTGCCCACATTTGATGCTCACCTGATGAGCAGTAGGGCCGCAGTGACAGCATCCTTGCTGACAGTTCCTGTGGGAAACTCTCTATACTTGTAAAGTCTACAGTAACCGAGAAGTCAGAAGAGCCCCCTGGAAACCTAGAGAGACACCCCTACAGCAGGAAGTCTTTCTCCTGATTGTGGCACCTTAGCTATATTAATGCAAACTACAGCCTATAGACCAAATCTAGCTTGCAGGGTAGCTAAGAATGGTTTTCACATTGTTGAATGGTTGAAATAAAAACTCAAAAGGTGATTATTTTATGACATGTGAAAAATATGAAATTCAGATGTCAGTGTCCATAAGTAAAGTTTCATTGGGACATAG